TATATTTTTAGAAATTGTATTTAGCAGGGCCCCTCTGGATACCAGCCACTGTGCTGAATGGGCCACCCTGCATAAATAAAGTTTTACCTACCTACCTACACTTTGAAGCGACCAACCTACTTGAAATGGTAGCATCATTGTATACACACTGTAAATATACAACAGTCCCCCAAGCTTGCAGTGAAGCATCCACAAATGTGATGACTCTCTTAGCAACTACCTCCTTTGCTTCACGCAGACATCCAGGCACCTGCACATTACCCAGGCTCCTAAGCTGCCAATACCAACTTCCGATTCTACTTGCAATTTCATGAATAACACCATCCCAGTCATAGCCCTTTGCCCACAGTTCCTGAGGCAGGATCTTCGCCTTGATGACGAAAGGGCCCACCGACCCAAATGGGTCGAATATGGTCACAACCTTCCTCAGTACATTTCGCTTTGTCACTGGAAGTTCTGTAGATATGTTTGCAAGCAAAATAGTAAACGTATCTTCTGTACTATTCCAGGAAACACCAAGCGTCTTGACAACAGGTTCCTGCCCTGCAGTAATCAACAACTCAGTAGCTCTGTCAGCTTCAGGCGTGGCTGCAACAACTTCCAGGGAATTAGATACCCATTTCCTTGCCTGCATGCCTGCAATTCCCCACAGACTGTCCAGCTCTTTGTACAACTGAATGCCATCTTGCACAGTTTGCACACTATCAATCGAGTCATCCATGTAAGTGGATCTGAGCACAGTTTCAGCTGCCAATGGATACACATCCTGGTTCCTTCTGGCATTCTCTTGAGCAACAAACGGAGCCTCCATTGGTGAAGAGTTCTTACCAAACACTACTCGACTGAACTCACAGACATCAGATTAATGGCTAGAATCAAGGTCCCTCCATAATAGTCAAAAGTAAGGACGATCTCTCTCTTCAATCTCCACCTGCAAATAGATTTCCTTTACGTCACATGCCAAAGCTATGGGGTTCCCCCTGAACTGAATAAGCACATCAAACAAATCCTTCTGCAATTTAGGTCCTGCACAAATTCAGTGACACCGTCCGTTTTTGCAGAACAATCGAACACAATGCGTACTTTAGTCGTAGTCTTGTCCATACGGATGACTGGGAAGTGAGGCAAATACCAAACTTCTGGTGGCAACGGTTCATCTGGTTCGACCCTTCGCAAGTAACCTTTCTCGACATATGCCTGGATAATTTGCGAGTACTCTGTTCCTAGAGCACAGTTCTTCAATTTATTTTCTGTTTTGCCTAACCGCGATAATTCTGTGTGATGATTATCACGTAACAGAGGCTTATCCTCTTTCCACGGTACTCCCATTTTGTATCCATTTCCAGTGTAACCAATCGAATCGTTAAGTTTCTTCAAGGCTTCGTTCTCCTCTTCGGTGAAAATCACAGCGTCATGTCTCTCAATGCTACAGTTTTCTATCTCCCAGAATCCCTTTAAGGTACGATCAATATCACAGCAAACATAGCTGACGCTGACATTGGGCCCTCTGTTAAACAAAGTACGGCTAATGTGTTCCCTTGCTCCTGACCACTGCTTTCCTTCTGGTGGGCCAATGCATGTCCAACCCAAAGGCCCCAGGCAGGCAACCTGGTCCCCTTCCTCACCACGTACATCTGCTCTGGAATAATGCAACTCTGCATTGTCCACACCTGTCAGCAAATCCACAAGGCCATCTTGGGCAGGTTCAGCAAAGTCACATTCTTTAAGGTGAGACCATCTATCCTTACCTTGTTTCCAGTACTGTAGCTTGTAGTTTCCAGTTACCCTTTTAGGGCAAGTCTTTACTTTAATGTCTTTACTAAACTCCCCATCAAGGCTCTCAATTGTCACATCCAAAGGCATCGACTGGAATGTTTCCACCTCATTGTTCAGAACATTAACTGTAACTGTGCGGTATCTCTCCTTGAGACTAAGAACTCCTGCAACCTCTTCATTAAGAAAGGTCTCGTTTGAACCATCATCCAACATAGCATTCACCTTCACCTTGCGGTCATTTGCCTTTAACCACACTGGCACGGTACGAAGAGAAAGAGCCTCAGTTGCTGTCTCTTGCTTGGAGGTCGATGTGTGTGTATGAGCTGGTGCCCCCTCCCGTGGAGACACCACTCCCCCATCCTTTGTGTTGCCGTGTGTAAAGCCATGCAATAAGTGATGATGATTTCTTTTACAATCATTAATGTGACAAGGTCGAGCTTTAGTACAAGCTCTTCCTTCATGATCACTTGCCAGGCAACGAAAACAAAGTCGTTTATCCTTTGCGACATTCCAACGTTCGTTCATTCCCACACTCTGGAAACGTCTACAAGTTCACACTCCGTGGTTTCCTCCACAGTACACCAGCAGCGCTTGTAAGCACTGCTGGTTCTTTACCAAAGTTATTGCCTTCGCTGAACAAATTCCTGATGTGACCACCTTTGTCAACCTGCTTGCCACTATCCATAGCAGCCCCAACAGTCTCAGCTTGGATTCCATGTGCCAGTTTGACTGCCTCAACCCGAATCCTCGCTTCCTCCTTCAACCAATCCCTCAAGCTCAACACAGACCTGTCTTTCTCGTGTTCTCTCAGCCAGCGACTGTAGCTTTCAACCTGGCTGTCAGCAAACTCCTTCACCAGCAAACTATGCAATGCACCTTCCCCCAACTCTCCGCCACGCCCTTCTGCTTGCAACTTCACAACAGCTATGTGCACAAGATCAGCAAATCGCTTGAATGACTGTACATCATTGCTCTTCAAGGGAGGCATCTTTTCGATCTGGTCCATATATGCCTGTAACTTTCTTCGCTCACCACCAAATTTAGACTGGAGAATTTCCTTCTTGGCTTCCTTGTATTCTGTCTCTGAAACTCCTATGCCCCTGATGGCCTCAAGAGCAGTCCCCGTAAGGCTCTGTCGCAATCTAGCCATTTTAATATTTGTTGGCTCCACCCCTTGGTCGACAAGACTCAAAAACATCTCCCAGAAATCCTCGAATTTACTTTTCTCACCACTAAACACTGGTACCCTCAAAGGTTTAAGTCGCTGGTTACAGTTACCTGAGTGATCTGAACTTGACGACTGGCTGTGGGCAGGTGAATGCGTTGATTGAGCACGTGTCATAGGCGAGGGCCTCTGTAGCAATGTCTCTTTTGTTGCATTTGCATGTTTTTTCTCGAAGATGTCCTTTATTACCCGTTCCGCTTTTTCAATAACATTGTTTACTTCCTTCTCCAGACCCTCTGCTACTTTCGCGACGGCCTTCTTCTTTTCATTGTCTCCTCAGCGTAAGTAAACTCCTTGCAGTTCTTCCATGACAGTGAGGCATGCATCCAATACCTTCCACAATGTTTCGATTTCATTTTCAACCGACTCGGAATCTTCGCCACTCACGTTCAGTCTTTCTAAATTGTGGCGCACTTTCGTAACTGCAGTCTTTCTGCCTCTCTTCTCTCGTTTAAGTTCTAGAATTCTTTCCTCTTCATTAACTTCTTCAGACTCTCCTATCGTCGGCATAATCGAGCGATGTAAAGAAAAAAACCCTTGTCAAATGCTCGACAATGTTCAAGACCTTGTTGATTCGATTGTTGATTCCTCGCGAACGAGTCCAATGAATGATAGTTCCACGCCAAAATAACGATGCACAACAACAAAACAGTGAAGCGAAAACACATGAAGTAAAAACCTCCCAGAGTTTTAGACAGTGTTTGAAAGCTCCTCGATGATTTAAGTCGTAATTCCACTATAATTCCTTTGCGAAGTTCCATAAGACGAAATCCAAGATGGCCAAGTAAAAAATCCAACACGACAAATACGATGCGAAGCGATGGCAGCAAATAGCAAAATCCAAATACGATGCGAACAACAAACCTTGAGCACGATATTATCTGCTAACTCAATCCAGATAAATCCTTCGTACAGTTCCAAACGGTGAATCCAAGATTGCCAATTCCACTGCAAACGCGAAGCGAAACGATGCGAAAAGCCCGGGAGTAATAAATCCAAACTATGATGCGAAGCGATGCGAATAACAAACCTTGAGCACAATAAATTCCACTCGCTCATACTCACCCGTCGTGGTCGCCAAAAAATGTTAAGAATGACGCAATAAATCCGCGGTCAAACTCAACGTTTGACTTTATTTTGACTAGGAAAAACCTCCATGGTGAATACTCGACTTGCACTATCCAAAAACCGCGTGGAACTACCTAAAAGTACTTGACATTTGATCTCTGTCACTCATCCCTAAATAAGGTACATGTAACACAACGTCACGCTCTCCTGAACAGTATCTATAGTTATAAACATACACATCCACAGTGCACAGTCAACTGCAGCAGAAATAATTATCAGGAAGACAATATCTTTTACATATGTTTCTGCTTGAAGGTCGATCTGTAGGTACTTGGCATCCATCGACAGTGGAGTGTAATCCAGTACTTTCCGGTGTACCTTCTCGAAGTTTTGAAAAACCGACTCATCTAGAAGTTCTTCACGAAGGTACAGCTTGTAATACACAGAGATATAAATTGTCAAATTTTCTCTAACAAGCAATTGCAATAGGTCATTTCCAAGTTACTATTACCTCTGTTTTAAAACAAGTCCTTGTGCAAAATGTTTCATATGGAAAGGAGTGTGATTTGCATGAAAATGCACGAATTTTCGTAAGAATGGTTTTGCACAATGTCTCGTCTTGACATAAAGGCAAAAGGCAACTCATAAATGGCATATTGTTAAGTGCCTTGAA